TTTATGCTCCGATATTTCACACAGTGCAAGAAATGCGGGATTGGGAAATGAAGATAGCCTAACATGAACGTCGTGTACAAAGTGTTATGGATAAAATGCGGTTAGTGTTGCCCGGATATGACCTCGAAGAAAGAGGAAGAAAGATCTTTAAGCGCCTGGAAACATGGATGCCTAAGCAAACCAAAGATTGATCCAAGCTAGATATACTTAGAAGGACTATATTGTCTCTATCATGGAGGCTAATATTGAATCCGAACTTGGTAGTTTCTGCTTAAAGTTCGAAAAAGTAAAGCCCATTTAGATGGGCCAACTGACGGTTTCTGGATACACCCACCAGATGACAAGCAGCTGATAACAGCACTAGAAAGACTTGGAACCAATAGGATGATACTCAGCCGACGGTTTAAATTTAACAGCACGCAAACTAATAATCTTGTGAAGATTATCAAATCTAATGGACCCTGTGTACAGGGACCCAGGTTTAGTGCTTGACATCGTTGTGTCAGAAGCGCATTTAACGCAGGAGGAGATACTACATATAGTCTTCCCTAGCGATAAGCCAAAACATAACCAATGCATATATTGACGTAAATTGTCGTCTATATTGTACCATACCAGATGCAACGTGAAGCAGAAATCGTCGGAAGCTATCCCTGGAGGGTGGCTCATGGACTGACGCCGCCGCGTAAGATGTAGCGAACGTACTAATTAATGACTGTGCCTTGCATAGACGCCCACTTCATTGTGGTTATATATATATATATATATATATATATATATATATATATATATATATGCAGAAGAGTGAACAGGATGTATATATATATATGACGTGTATATATATATATATGCATATATATACATATATACATATATATATATATATATATATATATACTATATATATACTTTTTGACCAGAGTCGAGGACATCTCAGCCGCTCCTGACAAAGAAGACCTACAGATAAGTTTAATATTTAGGCGCAAAATATCTGTATATACTTCGGGCGTAAACCATGGTAGACGTTTCGCGGGGTTATCTCGAAAAATAATTTTGTAGGTTGTATTTAAGATTTATAACATCCATTCTTTTTTTTATTACTCGCTCTCCAGTAGTAGAGTACATGTGCGTTTTTTATTAATCAATATATTGTGATTCATTTAATACCTTGTTTTATTTGGCTCTTTCTGTGTGTACTGTTACTTAAATTTCGTCATCTCTGTTAGATTCTCCTTTTGTGTGGTGGTCAAGCAAAACAAGTTCCTACTAATATCTCGGGGAGTTGTGGCTTAATCCGTCCTAAGTCACTGGCGCTCTTAACCCGCCTCTACTCTCAGCTTTGTTGAGCTAGAGCCTAAATTTGCACGTCACTAGACAACTGTTTTGCTTGACCAACCGTTAGATAGTATTATCATTGTTTTATTAATTAACCAAAAAAGGCGTGACAAATTTTGTGGCGCCCAACGTTTAGGGCCTATCATTTTAAACAGTACACAGAGCCAACTAGTTTGTTGAATTTTTTTTTGAACAGACTTAAAATTTTATTGAAACTTTTAGACAGAATTTATTATTTTGTTGTTGTTTGATTTCAATTGATATAAGTATTGTCGATGATTACATTTCCTTCCCTTCGTAAGATTAGTTTGTATGTCGGCAAGATATATTTCAAAATGGAAGTTGGTGACCTTAAGAAAGAGATGTTACTTCATGAGCTGTTAGTCCGTGGTGTTGCTGTTGACGGAAGTCATACAGTTGACAAATTGAGAGCTACCTTACGCTCCCTATTAAAGTTGTAAAAAGCTGGAACTTTTAAATTTCCACCATATAACCTTAATTTTGACGATGAAAAGGTGCAGATGCGGTCATTGCTGGATGAAATTAACGATACTATCAGTACACTTTCACTTCACTTACCGCTTCATCCAGGTTGGTCCACCTCCTCAATCGCGTTAATCGAAATATTAAAAAAAGCCCTAGAGAGAGACTATTTAAAAATCTACTCTACTCTCTGTCTCATTGAAAACAATCGCACTTGAAGCAAAACCATGTACACTTTTTTTTGTACAAGAAAAGTAAATCAAAGAAAAAAAAAGATAAAATGTAGTAAGCTAATATACCCTTGTTATAAAAGTTATGGCAGCTCAAAAATCAAAATCATGATCAATGTAATAGAAGGTGCCATGTAGGCGTTGCCCCCATATTTGAATACGTAGTATGTCCAATAAAATCAAGAAGTCTAAGAATTTCAATAAGCAATAATAAATGTATAAAGATCTATGAAATGGTTAATTAGAATGATATTTTACCTGTTCACATCAGGTTTTTTTTTCAAGGGGATGGCTTCCACCAATTTGCAAAACTGCAACAAGATGCAACCATCTGGAGGAGAAAGGATGATGATCCTCTTCTGTTTCTATTGACTAAAGAAAGCAGATCTTGAACGAACGTCATCCGGACACGCATTAAGGCACGTGGTCCGAAGGTGTATAAAAAAGAACTTACCGCTGAGGGTCAAAATCCCATAAAGAAATGGAAGACGTAGCACCCAAACCAAATGACTAAAGTTAAGTTACACAGAAAAGGGTGCTAGTCCATGAATTGGCGCTTGGGTCCTAATATCCCAGAGGCCGGAAAATGACGAAAAGACCCCTGCACCACGACCTCAACGGAAACAGAAAAGCGAATCACGCAGAACACGTAACGTTCTAGAAGAAGGTATCTTGAGTGGCCTTGAAGAAGATATGTTTTATAGGAAAGCAACTAATGGAGAAAAACTACAGAGTTTTTTGCTGATCGTCAACACCATACAGAATCGCTGAAACGAGTGAAATTATACAATCAATAAACTATTAAATTTGCCAAAAGAAAATCATTGAAAAAGGTTTGCCATAGGAATGGGCACTCTATTATCAATGAAGAGAAATTCAAATTACGGATAAGTGATAAATAGTAATAAAAAGGTTACGTGATTTTGGCACGTGACAATCCAACGTTGATAAAAGGAATCAACGGATGAAAATTGGATTGAAAATTTAATATTTAAAAGCCTGCCTTTAATCATAAAATAAAAGGGAAAAAGTTGAAAACTTTTGGTGCAATTATCTTCAGAAGGATGGCGTGAGGATCAATTCTTCCAATTTTTTCAGAGCATCAGGACTGCAAGATAATCGTGATGAAGATAATGCCCAAAGGAATGTAACTGCATCAAAGATGTCGTCGGAGTGAAGTTTGATCAGTTTTTTTTAATGCACCTCTAAGAAAACTATTGTATCGGTAAATGAAAAATAATTTGGATTAAGCTACCGCTTCCCACAGAAAAGGATTCACCTTTAGACAAACAAAGCGCATTAAACGAAATACATTTAGGTCAAAGAACGAAATTCTGATATTCTTCAGTTAATCCTTTTTGTAGTATGTATGTGGACATGTGATTTTCTTGCATAATTTTGCCGATATCAGGTATTTGCAGATACACGGCAGTTTTTGTTACATTTCTCGATTTATCTGGAACATAGCATAGCCGTTTATGAAAGTCTGCTACTCCAATTGTAGTATAAGAAATCGGTAGCACCACATTTTGTTTGGCTCTTTGTACTGCAATACTTCTATGCAGGTTATAATGTCAGGTATCACATTAGATCAGTCTCATCAGGGAACGAACATTTTAACTGTTTCTATTGATAGACTCTGAAAATGTGAAGGCCACCCATTTCCTGATACATTCGGATGCTGGTCAGGAGTTGCGGCGGAGAGAACAATTGGGAGTTAATATATCATAATACATGTTTACGAAATGAGTATAACGTATTGTATCAAGAAGTTGCAAACGTGACCAAAGGAATATCTCTCGCTCAGACTTTGCTAGAACGTAATCACCTACTACGTATAGTACAGTAATTGGCGTCATTATTTGCTTGTATGTATATGGTGCACTAGGACATCAACAAGAGAGTTCATCTAGCTAACGTAATGTAGTTGTAGCGCATCAAAATAATAATAATAATAATATTAATAATAGGCCTTTATTATTATTATATATTTGATTTGATCCAATGAACTCTGTTTTAGCTACATTGTTCAAAGGTTTTTACGGGTATTATTAGCCTGTTGCTAAACACCTGGAAAACCACTAAAATGAAATCTGTCAAATGTCAGGGGTTTAAGGGCGATATAAAATATATTGATTATAATCTTACACAAACACGATCATGTTTACGTTAATACATTTTACAACAATTTACTTCAGTGATGTAAGAAATATAAATTTTTCTGACGACGGTTTGGTTATGGAGAGCATTTTATTTTTCATAAGAGAACGTAAAGAACGAATGGAAGAACATCAAAGTCAAATTTAAAAAAGAATGTAATAAAATACCCAGAGGTCGCTCAGGGGATAGTCGATATAAGGATTCTTATACACAGGGCTATTTCTTCGGGCTATATTCACCCAAAGAGATAGAGGGAAATAACCAAGTGTCTTCAGTTGTGGCAGAGCTTGGGGATGGAGAGACGAAACAGGACGAGAAAAGATCTGAGTGAGAAAAATGTATTCGAAGAAACAGACTATTTAATTCAAACTCTCCACATTCGCCGTTTTCGGTTCAGCCACCGAAAAAACAACGAACCTTACAAAAATGACCAGAAAATTTTATAACAATACCAACAAAAAATTGTCCTCCATGTTGCTTCATTGTGTGGTTAATGACTCCACGCGACAGAGGGTTACCTCCTGACAGACCGAACAGACCGCAGAGGCACTGAGGAAGTCCCAGCAACAGAGACAAGGCCCCTCTCGTCGTACTATTACCCATACTACTTGCTCTACTAGATATTTGAGGAGCGGATTTCGCGCTGCATTTTTCTCCAAACTGAAAGTAAATAGAAGCCGGAGTGTTGCCAGATTGAGAAAAATTGTTGAGAGCTTTGGGGAGACGCTTCCATGCTCATCGGTTTCAGATTTGCTTGTAACACTGATTCATGATCCGGATGCATCTTCCCTGATGACAGACACCGAAGTTAATGACTTCTTAGAGGTCATTGATCACGATATGGCTCAAATGGCCTTAGATGACAAAGTGATCCAGAATAAACAGGAAGCAAAAGATGACAATGAGGTACATGTTGTCTCGCGCATGCATTCTTGCAGAAACTGTCACCTGCTATGTCCTGATCACAATGAAGTGTGTGCAGCCTGCCGGGCCATCATGAATGACGATATTGAGGAACCTTAAATCTAGCTCCTACATTTTTATGCCCATCGTCGTATGCAATTTGTTTTTCTATCATGTAATGATAGTAGCACTGAATGTATGTAAATTTTTAATTTGTGTTCATGTTCTTTTGGTTTTATGTTTTTTTATGTGTTCATGTTCTTTTAGTTTTACTATACGAGGCAGCAGCGGTGGCCGCAGTAGTAGACTCTTCGGTCTCCTGCGCTGTGCGGGTTCGAGTCCCGTCCCAGCAGAAAATTTTCTCTTGGCTATGGATGTTGTGATTGTCCGTAGGTGGTAGACGGTCTCTGACTGTCGAACGTGGAGGTACCACCCGGCAGATCTCGTAGGCGGAGCCAGAATGTGTGCATGTTGCATGCACACGTGTTCCCTCGCCAGAGTCCGTGTGGCGTCCCCCTTGCCCCTGTATCCCCCCATAGCCCCACGGTACCCAATGGGTGTTTACGCCTTAGGCCTTCGTGGTAGTTGGAGTATAAAAAAAAGACCCATATACCAAAGAAATTTCTACTCGTTAAAATTCTATTTAACCTCCGCATTCCGTTTAGCATAGAAACAAGTTGCCTGTCAGAAACTACTGCTTTCATTGGTGTTCCGGGGAAATAATACTAATTATGAGTTGGAGTATAACTAGATGCATTAAAAACGCCCAATGTTAGTTTCTACCCGTAAGCATGCATATGGAGGAGTGGTAGTCTATAAACTACGTCGTAACCGTGAAGAGATATGGAATGAAATCTTAATTAATATTTTAAAAGCATTACTGCCAACAACAATTACACTGCCAATTCTTCGTACAAGGTGACTTACTTATAATCCTCGCACAACTATGAGATTACAAAGAAAATAACTCATAATTCGAAGCAAAACAGATGACTTGGACAAAGCATTTTTTGATTTAGAAAAGATCATTGCTAGAAAAATAGGATATCACTGATGACGATAGGGATCTCATCTTTTTTAATTCCTTAATACCTCACGTCAGAAAACTTCCTTCACTCAACTCAGGAGTCAAGTACTAAGTGTTTTAATGAATGCCAAAATCAACTATCTATAATGACAATTTACCTTCCAGAGTATCTGCTGCTGTTTCCAGCAGCGCGATGTAACGGGCCAAGGTGCACACGTTCATCAAAGGATTACGTCTACCCGTGAAGAAACAGAATTCGCTTCACGTTTTTAATGGGAAACCCCTTTATGGTATGGTCTAATTATAAGCAACTAGAACTCTGTAAAAGTGATTTAACAGATAGGAAATCTAAAATATACCAAATTCACCATATCACTTGTAATAAGTTGTCTTGGTTAAAGAAACAGTTGAACAAGATGGGCGATTTGAGCTCAATTTAATCTTTGTAGAATTAGGGGAGACATCAGTTTATGGAAATCATTGAAAGTCAATTGTGGATAACAGAAGAGAAGATAACTAACAAGTTCGCTAATCACGCCCTTGTTGACATGAGGGATGCGTAAAAATTATAAGCAGGATGTGGCTTATTATCTAGTGAAGGATACTATGCACTATTTGTAATCAGGGCGCAGAGATCAAAACTGCACTTGAGACGCTTTGCTCGGAGAATATTCACGGACAAAGTTCATTCCATTTTATGGATTCGTTTAGGAATATGGAAGAATTTAATCCTTTAATGGTATCATCGGGTGAAAATTGACCCAGAGCATCTTTAATTCGTCTCTGATTCGACTCTTTCTCAGTTATGAGGTGGGATCCCGTGACTTCTCATATTCAAATTTGACCCGGCGATACCAGTTGCGTGTACGTTTTGAACTTCTTTCACAATGGATTTTTTCATTATTGACGGATGAACAATACACCAATACACCATAGACGATACCGAGGACGACGCTGTTATCGATCAACCCGAACAAGTTCCTGTGGTCGACCTCGATTTTGACACCGTACAGAGCGGACTCGGACTGTTCTTCAGACTTTCCACTAACATCCGTAGGCTATGATTATAGACAAAATCATGCACAAATGGTCAAAATTTGCGCCTGCAAATGGTCGAACCAGACGACATAATATTATTACGTATTTACCTAACCTAACTAAAACCCGTGGCAAGCAATTTGGAAGATAAGTACCTGTCAACTACAGATCTCTTCTCATAACCGATGAAATTATTAGCAAAATTGTGGATTGTACAAATAAGAAAATATATCCAGTAAATATGGAAAAACAGCTTCATATATAAATTACACAGATTCAGCCGAGATCAAAGCATTTTTTGGCTAGCTCTATTTGACATCAGTTTTCAAATCCAACCATCAAAATGTCGAAGGTTTATTTGCATCAGACTGCACTGGCAGAGACATTTTCCGTGCTACTAGGCCCCTAAAGAGGTTCATGTTTTTGCTAGCCACATAGAGGTTTCATAGTATTTCTACCAGTGACTCGAGAAAGGCAGATACATTACGCCATACGTGAAATGTTTGAGATATTCATACCGAACTGAGGGAATTGTTATATCATGGGTGAGTCCCTGCAAAAGACGAGTTGCTCGTGGGCCGATGTTCTTTCTGAACATACAAGAATACTAAACAGAACAAGTAGGGACTGAAGATGCTATGCCTTTGTGATGCAAATACTCACTACCTGCTCAATGCTTTCGTCTAAACGAACAGAAATATCACCGCACATCACTGGTTCACGTCAATAGAATTAGATGTAGAATTGCGCAACAGCCAACTGACCTATGTCGGGAGGAACCGTAAAAATAAGAAAAAAATACCTCAATATGTAGTTCTAAATAATAAAACACGGCCAGGTACTTCTAAGTTTATGTACACTTGCACTACAACCTTAGTGTCGAAGTTCTAAAACCGAAGAAACACGTTCTCGTATTGCAGTATGATAACAAAATAGTAGAAGAATCAAAGAAGCCTGATATGATTCTATATTATTTGTATCACTCCATGAAGGCGGGAGGTGTGATGCATTAGATCGGAAGTATGTAAATTACAATACAGGTTAAAGAACGAGAAGATGGCCTTGTACTATTTGGTATCCTATTATGCATACAGCTTCTGTAAATTCCTTTGTTTTTGTTCCGGTCTGGGACTGGAAATTCTATTAGGCGACGAAATTTTATTGTTCCCTGAGGCAAACTCTAATTGAACTTCATCTGAGACGACGTTTATCGGAACCAAGACTACCTAGGGAGCTTCGTTCAGCCATGCAAAGAAGCCGTCGACTTCTCAGCCCAGAGTTCTTGATCCTTGCAGTTGTTAAAGTAAAAAATGACGTAGGTGTTACATGAGCCCGTCTCACAACGACAATAAATGTTCTACAATCTGTAATAAGTATGTAAGTGTTTTTTTGTAGTAGAATATGAAGACCAAATATTTGTTAAATGGCATATGTTAACTTTAAGTTCATATTACAGTTGAAATTTCGTAAATTATACTGCATTACTCATCTTCAGATGCGTATTTTCGTTTTGGACAATAAACAGTTTTATGTAAGAGTGTTTTATGAGTACAAACCTGTTATATACATGGCTAAAAACTGATCAGTAATGGCATTTCAGAAG